CATACATAGTATTTACTCTTGTCTGTTCTGTCCTACATATGCTGTTCAATTATCAAGCAAAAATTATGAGTCACTAAAAAAGCAAGAAAAAAGCAATACAACAGAATCAAATATAAATAACATAAATGGTGAAACCATCAGAGAACTTAAAAGAACTATGATTAAATACTCCAGTGGAAAAGGTGGACAACATTCATGAACAGATGCAGAATTTCAGCAGATAAATGAAAACTATAAAAAAAAACTATTAGGAATAAAACCAAGATAACTGATGTGAGATGCACAGAGTATTCATAGTGAGAACCACTTAGTGACAAGAGCTTTTTAATAGCCCTTTTTGAGAATGGGGCCAAAAGTGGGGATCAAAGGAACAATAGAACAAAACACGAACTTCCAAAGTGGTTCTCACTGTATCATCTCTACATGCCTCACTTCAGGACTGGTAGCCCAGTGTGCAGCTTTATTGTTGCTCAAGCGGCTTTAGCAAGCTAGTCAATTACCAGATTGCAAACTCCAACAAGTAAAGCCACACCCCTGCACATCTTCCTGTTGCCTGCCCCCACAACACACCCCTTTCAGAGGGGAGGGTGTCAAGGGAATGCGCATGCATGCAGCATTCCATTGTCCTTTCTCCTCCTTCCAATGGACATGGCCTAAATTCAGTACCACCTTGAAAGTTGGGCTGGGTCCCAACCTGGCCAGTGACCCGCCCCCCACTGCTCCCAGTGAGGGTTGAGGGAAGGAGGAGCCTGCCAGCCAATGGTGCAGGATTGTTCCATCATCAGTGCTGGGCTACCTGGTGGTCATCGGAGACAGCGTTGGTAGAGGGGCTTGATGAGGAGAAGCAGCTGGTGAGACATTCTCACAAAGAGGAGTTGCAAGACAAAATTCAAGATGTGAAGAATGCTATTTCCAAGAATGACGAAAAGAGGAGGGAGTAACTCACTGATGATGTTACTAAGTTGGAATCAGAAATGGAACACAAACATAGGAGAAACTGGAGCAACTGAAGCTGACTTCTAAGGAGAGTAAAGACAAAAAAGCTACATTAGAAATGGAGTGGAAAGAAAGGATAGCTGAAGCTGAAATTGAGAACTTATCTGGAGCTAGACATGTAGGAAGGGAAAAACTTGCTCAAATATTGGCAGCTAGACAGTTGGAAATCAAACAGATTCCATCTGATGGTCATTGTATGTATAGAGACATTGAAGGTCAACTGAAAAAACAGGAAAGCCCTTTGACCAGATGGGACGGGTGTGGGGGGCTGGATAAAAAAGGTGATAGGATCAAGAAGTACAAACCGGTAGTTACAAAAATAGTCACAGGGATGTAAAGTACAGCATAGAAAATATAGTCAATAATACAGTAACTATATATTGTGCCAGGTGTGTACTAGACTAATCAAGGAGGTCAATTCATAAAATATATGTCTGGGCCGGCCAAGAGGCGTGATGGTTAAGAGCTGGCTTGGGACACCAGAGGGCCCTGGTTCGGATCCCACATATGAGGGCCAGTGACACTGCCCTCTGCAGCTAAGATGCTGAACAACAGCTCAACCTGGAGCTGGGCTGCCGAGAGTTGCCTGCGACGGCATAGGCTGCAGCCCCTGTGGCAGTGGGTTGCCATGGGCTACTGTATGTAGTCAGCAGCCAGCGTGAGCGGCCAGCAGCCGCAGTGAGCGGCCATCCAGAAGCCGGCGACTGATCTGCCTCACCCGGGAAGAGCGCAATGATGGTGCCAACTTGGGCCAGTGAAGCAACGTCCTCCACAACTAGACTGAAGAACAAAAGGACAGCAACTTGTCTGTTCCCCTTCCCCCAATTCCCCAGCACTGTTTCCATCCCCCCAAATCCCCAATAAAGATCTTTAAAAATAAATAAATAAATAAAATTAAAAATATATATATGCCTAACTACTATGCTGTACACCTGAAACTAATATAAAATATTAGATGTCAACTATAATTGTAAAATTTTTAAAAAGAAAAATAAAGAAGTCAAACTGCTGAATATATGCAAAGCCATGTGGAAAACTTTCTACCATTTTAAACAAACCCTAACATAGGAGATAAGTATATTCCAGAAGAGTTTGTAAAGTACTGTGATATTATAAATACAGCTGCATGGGGAGGTCAGCTTGAGCTAAGAGCCCTGTCTCATACTTTATAAACACCAATAGAGATAATATAATCATATTCTCCTATTATAGTTGAAGAATATCCAAAAATACATTAATACATGTATATATGAGACATGCATATGGTTTAGGAGAATATTACAATTTTGTTACATGGTTGGTGAACAGAGCTACTGAAAATTGCAGCTAGTTTACAAAATGTTGCACAATTATGTTTTAGTACAGTGTGCTGATATCAGTATTCATACCAAGTGCTATATTGTTCTAAACATTACTAAAAAACACAACTACCTTAAATCAGTTTTATGGCAAAGCTGCTGTTTTTTTAAAAAAGTGTGTCAGAGATAAACTTTAACCAGTGTCCCCTTAGTGGTATTTCTAAAAACACTTATGAAGTCCATTGTGGAGAACATCATGCCGGTCACTCAAGCAGGCTGCCTTCCACTCACGGTAGCTCATGGCAGCACACTGAAGCCCTACTGCAGCCTACGCCATTGCCAGCGACTCACGGCAGCCCAGCTCCAGGTCGAGCTGTTGTTCAGCATCTTAGCTGTAGAGGGCGCAGCGTCACTGGCCCTCATATGTGGGATCTAAACCGGGGCCCTGCTACTCAGAGCTGGCGCTCCCAAGCCAACTCTTAACCAATGCGCCACTTAGCCAGCCCCTTAATAAATATGCTCTATGATATGACAGAACTATAACCCCTCCATTATCTCAATTTCAAAAAAATTCTTATTCTCTGACCATCTTCTCTTTCCACTCATAACTTTCAGTACCCTGACTCCAACAGTCTATGTCCCTACTGGACCCACAAACAATTGATCCTGTGACATTTTCACTGTCTTCACCTTGTTCATACCCTTCTTTCTTTCCTTACCCACCTTAAATTTAATTAGTGCCTCAAACGTGAATTTGGACAATTAAGTTCGCAAACTTGTTGCAACAATGTTGCTAACCATTTTGACATCAGAAGAATTATTCATGGTGAATTTGTACCAACTGGACAAACAGTTAACCAAGTTCAGTTTGGAAGTACTGAAAAAGCTGTGTGATAAAGATGACTGAACTTTTCACCAACAACTCACGGCTCTTGCACCATGACAATAAACCAGCTCACATGGCCCTGTCTGTGAGGGAGGTTTTAGACAGTAAACACATAACTGTATTGGAACACCCTCCCTACTCAACTGATCTGGCCCCCAATGACTTCTTTCTTTACCTGAAGATAAAGGAAATATTAAAAGGAAGACAGACATTTTCATGGCTTTCAGGACATCAAGGGTAACACAAAGACAGCTCTGATGGCCACTCCAGAAAAAAGAGTTCCAAAATTGCTTTGAAGGGTGGACTAGGCACTGGCGTCAGTGCATAGCTTCCCAAGGGGAGTACTTCAAAGGTGACCATAGTGATATTCAGCAATGAGGTATGTAGCACTTTTTCTAGGTTGAGTTTGTGAACTTAATTGTCTGACCTCATATACCCTCAGTTACCCTACCTCTCTCTCACTGCATCATACTCACTTGGTTAAACCACGACCCTAGTTAAAGCCAACTCTCTGCCTACTTGTTGCTTGAACTCATGCAGCTGAATATGTCTGGAAAAAAACACACAACTATGCTGACAAGTCTCACTTTAAAATGAATAACCACTGATTTGAGTAAAACTGTAATATTGTCAGGCAATTATACTGAATTTCCCTAGTTTATTCTCTCTTCCGCTTTCCTAGACAACTAAAAATACCTAGTTTATTCTCTCTTCCATGTTCATAGATAACTATATATATTTTCTAGTCTCTCCTCAAATCTTTAAAACCTTCTCCACAGTCTTCACTCTTATCTGAACACCTTGTTTCCTACCTCCTTCTATTTTCCTGCCAAACATAGAAACAGAAGATAATTTTTACAAGCACCTACAACCTACTTCTACTCACTTATGTGCATCTCTGCCTCACTTATGTGCATCTCTGCCTTTATATGCTACCTTATCCCCTGTTAACTATGAATGAATTGCCCACACTCCTGGACAAAGCAAATCCTGCAACCTCTTTCATATCCCACCCTCTCAAATACTCAAGAATATTGTCCTCGATATTCTCTCCTCTCTCTTGGAGCATCATTCTTTCCCACTTTACTAGATTATTCTCATCAACATAGGATCTTCCTGTTATTTCTTCCAGATTAAATAAATAAAAACTCTCAGGACTTCATCTCCCTCTCTAACTATTCTATTTCTTTTCTTCCCTTTACAGAAATATTATTTGTATAGTAAGCTATACGTCTTGTCTCCATTTTAACTCCTCACACCACTTCACTTATTCTCCAATGATGCCCAAATTGTTAAATTCAATACTCATTTCTTAGGCCTCTTCTTACTGGACGAATTAGTAGCATTTGACACATTGGATCACTCTTTCTTCTTTTAAACGCTTTCTTTTCTTGGCTTTCCAGGATCCAACATTCATCTGGTTTTCCATTATTATTATTATTATTATTATTGTTATTATTATTATTATTATTGCCACTCCTTTTCATTCTTTTGTTTGTTCTTTTTCATTTCTCTACAGTCAGAGTGAGTTCAGTTCCAGGATTTTTTTTTAAGGCTATACTTACTACTCGAGTGATCACATTAGTTTAAATACCATCTGTATGATGATGGCTCCTCAATATAAATTTCCGGGCTGAACTCCAGACTTGTATATCTAAGTGCCTACCTGACATATCCACTTTGATGTTTAATAAGATTCTCAACTTCAATGCTCCGAAAATTGAGTTCATGATAGCATTTACCAACCCAAAACATATCTTTATGCAAGTATCCCACATCTCAGTTAACTGTGTCATCATGGGCTCATCTCTTTTACTCACCTAAATCTAATGTAGCAACAGGTGCTGTAAGCTCTGTCTTCAAAATGTAATCAGGAGTCAAACCACTTCTTATTTTCAAAACATATTTTGAAAATTCGATTCAGCTGTAGAAAACAACATAGTAATTAGACATTTATATATCTCACAAAGTGATAACCAAAATAACCCATCAAATACTGTACATAAATATTACATTATTGACTATATTTCCTATGCAGTACTATATGTCACCATGACTATTTTTTATAATTATAGTTGACATTCAATATTATTTTATTAGTTTCAGGTGCACAGCATAGTGGTTAAACATTTATACAATTTTTGAAGTGATTCACCAATAAGTCTAGTACCCATCTGACACTATACATAGATTTACTATATTATTGACTATATTCCCCATACTGTATTTTATATCCTCATGAATATTTTGTAACTACCAATTTGTACTTCTTAATCCCTTCACTTTTCTCACCCAGACCCCCACCCCCCCAACCCCCTTCTACCTAGTAACCATCAGTTTGTTCTCTGTATCTATGATTCTGTTTCTGTTCCGTTTGTCATTTATTTTGTTTTTTTAATTCCACATATAAGTGAGATCATATGGTATTTGTATTTCTCTGTTTGACTTATTTCAATTACCATAATATCTCCCAGGTCCATCCATGTTGTTGCAAACGGTAAGCATTTCATTCATTTTTGTGTCAGAGTAATATTCCATTGTATATGTGTACCACAATGACTTTTTTCAATTGTCTATTGATGGGCATTTTGATTGTTTCCATAATCTAGCTATTATAAATAGCATTGCAATGAACATAGGGGTGCATACATCTTTTCAAATTAGTGTTTTGGATTTCTTTGGATAAATACCCAGGAGTAGAAATGCTGGGTCATAATATAGTCGTCCTATTTTTAATTTTTTGAGGAACGTCCATACTATTGGGTTATTGGAAAAGTCATGACACATTTTTTCAATGAAAAACATTAAAAAATGCATCATGACTTTTCCAACAACCCAATATTTTCCACAGTGGCTGAACCAACTTGTAATTCTACGAACAGTGCACGAGGGTTCCCTTTTCTCCACATCCTTGCCAACACTTGTTTGTTGATTTATTGATGATGCCATTCTGACAGGTCTGAGGTGATACCTCATTGTGTTTTTATTTGCATTTCTCTGATGATTAGTGACATTGAACATCTTTTCATATGTCTATGTGGAACCATGAAAAGCCCTAAATAGCCATGGCAATCTTGAAAAAGAAGAACAAAGCTGGAGGTATTAACTACCTGATATCTAACTATACTACAAGGCCACAGCAATCAAAACAGCACTGCCCAGGAACAGTTATTTGATGTTTTCCTTGGGGTGTTTTAATAATTTTGAGTGGCTCATAAGCCATATAAATAAGGTTTCAGAATAATTAAACATGTGTTGTGCAAAGTTTACCTTCTTACTGTCAGGTATAACTCTAAATAATAACAAAACAAATGATGCCACAAAAATATGACTCTACCCCTAAATATTACATGGAAAAAGTAATAAATAATAAATTCCATCTTTAAAAAGCAGCATGGGGACTGGCCAAGTGGCTAAGTTGGTTAAGAGTTAGCTTAAGAATGCGAGCTCTGAGCAACTGGGTCACCGATTGGATTCCCACATGGGCCAGTGATGCTGCGCCAGCGCTGAGATGCTGCTGAGCTGCTAACAGGTGGCAGGATGGCTCAGCTAGTGAGAGCACGTGCTCCTAACAAGACTGTCTGTTCGATGGTGGGCTACACCCGCCAGCAACTAAGACTGAACTCAGCACCTTGAGCTGAGCTGCCGCCCTGATGGTTCAATGGAAAGAGCGCGCGGTCTTGAGAAGGAAAATGGCCGCGGTAAGGAAGTCACTGAATTAGCTCGCGCAAACCACGGCAGCGAAAACACAGCTCTGCGGGACACGCTGAGCAGCAAAGGGACTCCCACGCGGACTACTTAGAGGTGGGCAGACCCGGCGGGTTCGGGAATTGGGCGGCGAGGCGAGTGGAGACACGGGCGGCGCCCGGTCTTCTGAGTAGCGGAGCTCCGCAGATCGGAAACTTCCCCTGCCCGTCCGCCAGCCCAAGCGCGCACTAGGGCAGAGTCATCCGGCCCGCGCCAAGCGTTTCTGAGGAGGATGCGTGGGAGGAAGCCGACTGCTCGCGCCCACGGAGGCGGAGACGGGGATTCTCAGTAGATAGGAGAACATTCACTGCTCACCCCCTACCCTGCTGGCGCGCGCGCTAAGGCAGAATCCCTGGGCCACGAGCTAAGGCAGAATCCCCGGGCCGCGCGCTAAGGCAGAATCCCCGGGCCACGCACTAAGGCAGAATCCCCAGGCCGCGCGCTAGGGCAAAGTCCCTGGGCGGCGCGCATCGCTGATCGGAGGAGAAGGGGGGCATGTGAACGGAGACAGCTTGCTCGCTCCCGGTGGCTGAGACGCCGGATCTCAGTGGATTGGAGTTCTCGCGGCTCCCTCCCCACCCCTCCAGCGTGGGCGTGCTAAGGCAGAGCCCTTGTGCTGCGGGCAACAGACCGCGGGCATAGTCTGGGTGCCCCTGCGGCTGCGGGTTTCCAGGACAAGGCAGACGGAGTTTTCAGCATCTGAACGCGCTCAGCCTTTGGTGCTGACCATCCCGCCTGGTGTTCGTCAGGATTCACAGGGTGCAGAGGCTGGGGCGAATGTCCCAGCCCAGGAGGAGAAGAGGGAGGCGAGAAGTGTGGAGACACAGCCAGACCGCTTCGGTGGTGGAGAGAAAAGCAGCTTAACCAGGGGGCGCCTGGTTGGAAGGGACATTTATTTTGTTTTTTGTTTTTGGGGATTTT